GGGGCGCTCGGGGCGGGGCGCGAGTGGTAAGAGAAGCGCTAACGACAGGTATGGGATGTCGGGCGGTACTCCCACCAAGTGCAGGGGGGAGGGGAAGCCGCCGGGGCTTATGCAGAATGTGTGGTCACGACAAGAGCAGGGACACGAATCATGGTAGAGGAGACGGGGGGGGGGGGGGGGAAGCATTGGGGTAGAGAGCGACAAATAGGTAGGTGTCCCAGTGGAGCTAGGGGCGGATCCATGACAACGAATATATTTCTTGACGGACTGACCAGCCGGCTGCCGGAGGAAAGGGGAAGGGAGGAGGAAGAGGGATTCCCCTTACACTATTACGCACTGTCAAAATCATTCAAAGTAACGCTTTGCAATGCTTTGTAGGATTGCAAAAGATGTGCATCATCTGTAACTACAAATCATTTACTTTGCAATCACACAGCAATGCTTTCCAGCAACAATGTAAAGCATTGCTGGCATTGCTTCGCAATTGATAAGTTAATGCTCCGTAGGGCCTAGTAACAAAAAGGATCTAAGCCATTCGCAATACAGCAAAGCATTGCTATTGCAGGATTTTAAAAGTGCGCTGCCAATGGCTTGCGGAGGTCTGGAGTGGTGCGCCGTGACGCGCGTTGGCGGCAGTCCGGTTCGGTGGTTGGGCCCCTGAATAAGTGAAGCGCATCGATACTTGAGCTCTAATTGCACAGGGAAGAGGGGCTGCAGTACAGCACCAGGCGACCGGGAGCTTGGCTCCCCCCTCCGACTGTCAACCGACCTCGCTCGAATCCTGTTTCCAATCACCAACCAGCCAGTCGTGATTGATACTGACACCGGCCTACTTCACCAACGGGTAAATAGCTTATCTCACAAGCTGTAACGTTAATCCCACCGCACAATTCTATTATATTACAATACTTTAGAAATATCTTTGCAAGATAATAGACAATCATATTTGACTAATGTAATGTAGTGAAACGCCTCCATTTTGGGGCGACACCGTCTGCCTTTTCACCATCGAACAGAACAACCAACACGCACACACGCCCACCTTTGTTCTGGAGGGTTGCGTATCATAGCCTTTGTATGCCAGTGGCGCATGGATGGGGCAGGCTGGAGATGGCCATAAGTACGTTAGAAATGGGTCAGCCTAGCCTAGCCTTCCCCCACAGCACGGGCTGAGCGGCAAGAAGAGCGCTGTGATAGGGCGAGCAACACAGTGTGCGTGTGTGTCGTAAACGCCCCACAGTTTGTGTGAGTCAATTTCGTCATAAAGTATTCATGTGTCCTACAGTTGTTAGTGGAAATCAGCTGAGCACCACATTCGACTAGACAAATTTGGAGGATTTTCTAAAACTTGCAGATGTTGGACACAACTTTATCCTCCAATTTTGTGGTGTGCACGACACACTGCTCGTATACGACACAAACGCCCAACCCGACCTGTCCCTATCAGTAAAAGCAATGCTCATGTATGTAGGATGGCATTGTTCTCCTGACACACCAAGTGCCATGGGGGAGAGTGCAAAATGTCATGACATGGGATTACCACTGCTATTTTGACAATGTGGCTGGGACAAGCTGTCTGAAGCGTCCGTCAAAAATGTGTAATAGGTGATGTGTCAGTCTACAGTTCTTATGACTTTGTCGATCAAACCAGCAAATGAGGATAACGCGCTCGGACTGCTCATCCCATCCCAACCTCGATATTTCAGGATAAGGATACTCTGTTGCAGAGTGCTCTGTTGCTGTTGTTGGTTGTACGTTAGACAGGGCCGTTGAGGTTAGGGTTGACACGATGGCCTGCCTCGGACTGACCGATTCTCCGCTGCCGCAAAGTACAGCGACCCAACACGGGTGCAAAGACACTACGCCACTATTATTGGCGAGTGGCAGTTGCCAAGAATTGAAGCACGGACACACTACACCGTGACGAAATCACAGGCACATTCACGAACACACACAAACATGGATCATTACCTCTTCATAGGCAGATCACAGAGCGAGACATACACACACGACCGCACAAACACACACACACACGCACGCGCGCGCGGCGGGGGAGGGTTCGGCCCCGTCGGTCGGCGTGAGGACCGCCAGCTCGGCTCGGGGCGCGCTCAGTGCCAGCCCCACGACCGTACTGAGCGGGGCAGAGCGGAGCGGGGCAACCCCCCTCGGACAGCCAGCCCCCTGCCAGGGCAAGCGGGGGCGGGCAGTAGGGGGCGG